TCGTCAGTCTGGTCATGCCCATAAGACCATGCCTTCATGAGGGAGCTGACCCACACTTTGTTGCTCCAGGAGACAGACCACACCCCTGCGAGTGCCACCAGCAGGGGCGGCCCAGCCTTGCCTGCACCCCACCCTGACAACTCCAGTGACATGTCAGTGACTGAAGGAGGGACCCAGACCTGCCCACCTTCTCAGCTGCTACACCCACAAGCATCTTGGGGAGCCCTGCCCAATGGCTGCCTCACCCTCAGCTCAGCCCCACACCCTGCTATGAGGCTACAAGGCCATACCACTACTGGCCACCAGCTTCTCCCCATGGGGACCCTTGCCAGGAACTGGCCTGCAGCTCACTGCAGACCATGGAAACCAGGCAGAGCTGGAAACCATCACTGATAGGGAGCCCAGGGCTGAGCTACCAGTCTCAGCAGCCCTGGGCACATGGTAAGTCCTGCACTGGGGGAGGGCCCTTCCAGTCCCTGCCGCTGCCCTGGCCCGTGCCCTGCCCCTGCCCCCACTCCCTGCCTGGCTCACCTGCACTCCCCTGGACCCAGATTCCCACCCCACAGCACACAGAGTGGAAGGACATAGTTCAAAACTTTATTAAACAGCCTGTGTCTCCACAGTGGGGCAGACACAGTCCTCTCACACACCGAGGAAGTCACTGATGCCTTTGGCAATGTCATCCTCAGCAGTAGGGGCAAGGATGTGTAGCACTGTGACAGGTATCCCTCCAAGTGGCATTGGATACTGTGGGCTTGCCCCCTCCCGCCACATTGTTGTAGCTTAGGGTCCAGAATCAGGACCACAGGTGTGCCTGGGGCACCAGCAAGATCATCAGCAGCACAACGTAATGGCTTAGGCAACCCTCTCCCTTTACAAACAGCTCATCATGCACTGTCTGGGGCACACACAACAGGGGCCTGCTCAGGTCACAGGGCAGTGCAGCAAAGGGCCGGCCCGGGATGCCTTCCTGGAGAGGCCCCTTGCTGCAAGGGTGGGGGGCACAGCCAGCCCCTCACCCCAGTTATCTGGGAACCCTGCATGCCCTGAGCCCAGATGCCATAAGCTGTGCAGCAGTGCAGTAGAGCAGTTGGTCTCTGGGGGGTAGAGGGGAGAAAGATTTTGGAGCTGCAGCAGCAGGTGCTGTCAACAACATGGACTGTCCCACCCTGGAAAGGGGGCAGGGAAGCCAGGCTGCCTGCAGCCAGCACCCAAAGGCCCACCAGCCCCAGGGGAGCCAGGAGGGATGGGGGGCATGGGTAGCGGCTGCCTGGGCCGAGGCCTGCCAGGCTGATACTTACTATGGTCCCTGGGCACCTGAGCATAGCCAACCCCTGATCTGAGGCCAGGCAGCACAGGGACTCTGGTGCAGAGCATCTCATCTCTGCAATTTTACAAACTCCCACAAAAGTCTTCTGTCTCTTGCCTCTGCAGGGCCAACAGCTGGATGCGGGAGAGAGGCTACAGGGCCCTGCAGGAGTGCCACATCAGGATTGCCTCCACCAGCCACTGGAGCCTCCTGGGCACCCTGGCTGCCCAAGCAGTGCTCCAGGGACTGGACCCTCCTGCTCCAGTGGCTAGTGGCTGGTGGTGGTGGTGGGGAACTGGGCAGCATGGGAGGGGGTGTGACAGTAGGCATGAGAAGCATAGAAGCTTGCCTGGTGGAAGGAAGATGTCACCTGTGAGACTGCCCCAGAGGAGGCATGGGACTGGGCACAGCGGGCACACTGTGCCTGGCTGGAGGCCCTGGAGTAGTGCCACATGGAGCTGCTCCAACAGCAACTGGTCAGCCAGGCCAGGTACTGGAACCCATGCCCAGGGCCCCTAATGTGTGCCCCCTGCCCCCAGCCCCACAGGGCCCCTGGGTCTTGTTTTCTGCCCCACAGCAGACACCTGCGTGGGCCTCAAAGGAGGATTTCCACCGCTTCCCACCCACAGGAGCCCCTGGCCTCCACCTCGTCCTCCAGACCTGGGGGGGAAATATCCACAGGCAGAGCGCTGGCCACATGGTACCGAGCTCTGCCCTGTCTGCCCACCACACAGCCCCCACTCTGGAACCTGGACAGAGACTCCAACATGTGTATAGTTTTCTATGTGGTAAAAGGATTTTTTACTGTTGGTGGATGGGGAGGGTACTGGAGGGGCTCTGTGTTGGGGAGGCAGGTGGAAGGGAGCTCTCTTGGTTGAGGGGGGAGGTGTGAGGATAGGGTGGGGCTTATGAGAGGAATAAAGATTTTTCATTACAAATGTGTGTGTCCTGGAGTAGTGCTGCAGGGTGGGCAGGGAATACTAGGTGTGTGGGCAGCAGGGTAGGTGGGTGCCAGCAGGGACAGGTTGGCACACCTCCATGTCCTGGCACAACAGGTCTTCAAAGGTGGCCCAGGTCATCCAGAATGTGGTGGCCCACTGATCCTCATCCTATTAGTGCAGCAAAATGTGCTGCCACCAGTTCTGGCTGGTGTGGTGGGCTCAGAGGCAGTGAGGCTGGTGGGACAGGAGGCCGACAGCGGTCCCAACAGGGGTGTCATGGAGCCTGTGGTCACTGTGGCTGGTGGCAGCAGCTGCACTATGGCAGGGGCTGTGGAAGGCCAATGTCCAATCATCCAGAAGGCATCTGAAGCAGGTGGGATAGTTGGGCATTGCAAGGTGGGTGAGCACTAGGCACATGGACTGGCAGTGGGCAAACAAGACAGTTGCAGCAGCCCTGAGGAGCAAGGGAGCTGGTCCCTGGGTGCCAAGGCCAGGAGCTGAGGTGGCCAGGGTTAGGAAGCACAGCTGTGGCAGGGGTAAAGCAAGCACAAGCTGCCTATGTCTGTGCCATGCTGCTGCTGTGACACAGAAAGCTTCAGCCCAGAGGTCACAGTGTGGAGGGTGTGTTTTTAAGATAGCTGCCAAGTGCTGGCAGCTTGCTCTGGCTTCAACATGGTGCCAAGTGCTGGCAGCTGTGTGTGTGGAGGCTGGAGCTACTCCCGGTGGCCACAGGGGCACATAGCAGGTCTGGACTGACCTGGGACTAAAGTTAGTCCCAAGGTCCACCACGTGTATACACCTATCAAAACCTGCCTAGTGGGCATTAGTTTAATGCACATTAAATTTAAGCCCGCTTAAATTCATATTTCGACATGCCCAGTGTAAATCTGCAAAGCTCATTTGTCTCCAGTTGAGCTGTGTTTATTTAAAACAGCAGAGAATCTGGGCTTCACTCTAATGAAATTATGCCAATTACAGCAGCTGGGGATCTGGCCTCTGTACACTTTTTACACTCTCTCTCATGCAGAGTTCTAGTAACCAAATAAGTCAGATCTTAAGAGGAACTTAAGAGGATATCGAAGCAGATTCCCACTTTGTTCCTGCTCTGTGCAATTACAAAGCCCAGAACTTAGACTCCCTCTTTATTTCAAGCTAAGGATTTTGGCAATAGCAGTATTAAACCACCTGTGTAGTCCCCTATTCTCCAGAACTGCTGGGGATGGGTCCATCATCAGGCAGATTAATTTCAAGGCTGCTTTACATGTTCTGGCTTGTTAAAATTGGGAAAAGGCTTGTTAAGACATCTGGGAGGCACAATATACCAGCTCTTCCCCTACTCTTTTGCAGGCCCCAGGATTGTGCTATTCCTCTCCCCTTCCACTTTCCCTAAATCCCTTTAGAAGGATTTAGATGATCCTTCTAAATCTAACTGTGAGTTTGCTTTTTGCAGTCACCACCAGTTCCTTTGTCACTCTTGTCTCCATGATTCTCTAACCAGCTCTAGACATTCGTGCCATACAAGAATTATGTTCCGATACAATGTAACTGGAAGGCAATAGAGGGATCCCCAGTGTCTGAAAATGGAAACCTGAAGGAGCATAAGGGAACAATGATAAATGTGTGCACTTAAGAATGTCCACAGACCGTGGCCCACCTGAGTACAGGTATATGACTTACATACAAGATAGAGAAAGAACACAAAAACATTTATCTTTGAGTCAGAACAGATACACCAGTATAAGGATCCATCCAGGCCATCTCAGAAGGAGTGATATACACTGAACTTCCTGATAGAGAGTGATTGGCTGGGAGATCTCCCATTATATCTGTCCCTTCTGGTATTTTTGGCTCTTCTCACTTTAATTGCCCCATTGAAACTCAGAGGCTGACCCAAAGTGTGAAGAGACATCTCCCAAATCCAATTTGGCCTTTAAACAAGCCAGCTGACTTTCCTATTCTTAAAGACAGCCTGTACATTTTCTCTCTATATGTAGGGCTTCATTTGTTTGTCTGTATGTCTGTCTGTCCATAATGCTTTTGGCCAACTGTGCATGCGCCACCGAGAAGGCAGGCAGCAATTGGTTGTGTGGGCCTGGGCTATGTGGGCCCAAGTTTGAGCCACTGCTGGGAAGTTTATGGGGGTAGTGAATGTATCCCAGCTACCCAAGCAGTGGGGCTTCCCCATACCTCCCTGCCTGAGTGCAAAGTGGGGAGCCATGGTGGCGGTGCCCCCCTGACACCCCGCGGAACAGCCAGCAGGGAGGGGGAGGTGTCTGGCAGGGAGGAAGGGAGAGGAGCAGGGAGGGGAGGAACGGGGGGGTCATAGTGGTGGCACCCCCTCACCACCCGGCTCCAACAACAGCTGGCAGGGAGGGGGAGGCAGCAGGGAGGGAGGGAGGGGAGCGGGGAGGGGAGGTAGGGGGAAGCCCTACTGCAAGGTGGAGGGAGGAGGGAGGAGGGAGCCTCCACGCTGGAGGCTGGAGGAAGGGGTGGTGGTGGCAGCAGCGGTAGAGGGAGTCTTTACAGGGCTGGCCCCAAAGGGTGAGTGGGGGGCAAGGGGGGGCAGTATGTAAACAGTCCCTGAAATCCATCATTCTTGACAGGGAATTAGCTAGTCACTTGAATAAATACATATGCCAGCACCGAACACTGACCCTTACCAGCTCTTTCTGGTTACCAAAAACTGTTAAAATCATGATACAACTAGAAAGATACAGCCATCAACAAGCAAATTCATTAAATTGCAGTCGCTAGAGAAATATTATCCTTCCTAGCTGCTTTCTCAGGGCATCCTTCACTTCCTTGTTCCTCAGGCTGTAGATCAGGGGGTTCAGCATGGGGATCACAATGGTATAAAACACAGAAACCACCTTGTCTTGTTCCACTGCATCCATCCCCCCTGGCTGCACATACATGAAGGTCAATGTCCCATAGTACAGCACAATGGCTGTCAGGTGGGAGGCACAGGTGGAGAAAGTTTTGTGCCTGCCTGCAGCTGATCGCATATTCAGGATGGTTGTGACAATGTAAATATAGGAAATGAGAACAATTGCACTATTCCCTATCACAACAAAGGAGGAGAGGACAAAAAGCACCACTTGGGAGACGTAGGTGTCTGAACAAGAGAGATGCAGCAATGGTGGAACATCACAGAAGTAAGAGTCAATTTCATTGGGACCACAGAATGTAAGTCTAAATGTAGAGCTGGCCTGGACAAGGGCATTCACCAAGCCCATGAGGTAGGAGAGAACCACGAGCTGAATGCGGAGTCTCTTGGACATAACAGCTGTGTAGAGCAGAGGGTTACAGATGGCCACAAAGCGATCATATGCCATCACAGCCAGAAGATAACACTCAACAGAGACAAAAAGGGCAAAAGCCCACAGTTGTACAGCACAGGCAGTATAGGAAATGGTTCTGCTTTCTGCTAGGAAATCATACAGAAGCCTTGGAGTGATAACGGAGGAGTAGCAGATATCGATGAAAGAAAGATTGCTGAGGAAGAAGTACATGGGGGACTGCAGAACAGGACTGGTGTTGATCAGCACAATCATGCCAAGATTCCCCACCAATGTAAGAAAAT